GCTAAATAAAATAGAAGCTGATTAAATCTATTTCAGTCTGGTTGTTTAGAATCGTCAGCTCAGCATCTTGTAAAGAGAGAGAGAAAAAAAAAACCCTGAAGGAATCTGTGTCGTTATCTTTCCACCTGAGTCTCTGCAGAGCGAATTCTGTCTGCATCATCACATTCGAACACGGATCTCAAGGTCGTATCTGTATTTCCCGAGCCTTCCCCGTCTACCCGGGGAGCGTTCAGCCGACATACATATTCAATAAGCTCCGTCTCATCTCAGCGACAACATTGTAGCCTCTTACATCAGCCTTTTGTCCTCCACGGAAACTGATGCCATCGGAGATCGAGGACTGGAAATCCGCTATGGTGTAATACTCTGCTTCCACAGCAGGGGGCTCTGGTGGCTTGGGTAACTGGAAACCCTGCACAGAAAAAAAACAGTAGAGAGCAGCTGACATCATGTCCAGCATCACTGTATCCGACTAAATGAGCCTGACTGAGATGATGAAAGAACATGAGACATCCTCAGTCATGTCCAGAAATGATTCATGGCCGCATATGGCAATAATTTATAAATATGTGTAATATTTAAGCCCATGCAGTAACAGATGATGAAAGACGGGCTGAAAATGTGTATAACTGTGCTCTAATGGTTGCTATGCCAACTCCTGCAGTAACCTGGGAGCCAATTAGTGTCTCTTCTTTTTATGTTATCATTTTATTTTCCGCTATTACACTGCTTTGAAATATTTTTTCAGCCGGAACAAGTGTCTGTGGATGTGTCACATTCCAGGGTATTGTTAGCTCATGAAGCGTCTCACCAAGTTGGTGTCTCTTCTCGGGGGAGGTTTCTGCCTCAGATTCGGAGACCCTGATGAAGAAAACAACATCTTATTAGAAGGGGCTCATCCAGCATGAGCTACGACACGAGCTGGTCGACACAATGGGTTCTGTTCAGACGTGAGGATACGGGACATTGCTGCTTCATTTGTGTGTTAAAGCGACGGGATTCTGAGCAATTTCTCTCAAACCAAGTGATGTATATACATAATAATGCACCAATACACATTCAAACTAATAGCAAGCTTATCCAAAAAAAAACCCCACACGGATGAGTTTATTTATTTAGTTTGTGAGCTAATGTGTGTAATAAACTCAGAGGAAATAGTCCTAAACAGTCAGAGGCAACAAATCCAAGCTTCTGTTAGTTAAAAACTGGATTATATTTGTTTTTATTAAGTAAAGTTTGTTCTCCATTGACGTTTCAGTTTTAGAAGATGTGAAATTGTAGCTCAGAATGAATGAGGAGGGAGTTTTGTGATTGTTAAACTGTGTTTTTGGTCTCCATGATGTTTCTGGACCAACACTGGTGCTTAAATGTAGAAAACATCCACATTAACGTTGTGCGTTTTTATACTTCAGACTTGCGGCAGGTTAAACTTAATACTAAAACGTTACTCGGTCCAACCTAGCAAGATTGTTGTTGCATGTTAGGAGAAGTATACTAAATGACAGGCATATACAGGGGTCGGTCTATGTAGTACTTTGCATTTCTTTGCTCAATTTGCACCACAAAAAACAGGTTTAAGACTTCTTATTTTTGCCAAATCACACAGTTTCATTTGTAATTGTTCAAGTTTGGGTCGCTGCAGGCTACTGCGCTAAATGCTAATGCTAAAAATAATAACAACGCATTAAGTTTTAGGTTGATTATTCAGAAGAAAAAAAAAAGTGTTTCCAAAAGTTTGGAAGTTTGCAATGTAAAAAGTTAAGTTGCTCCGATGTTTAATGTTGAAGTGAAGAAAAGTGTAGCTATCGATCTAATTTCATGACGTTTCCTCAACTTGAATTTAGTTCTGAATTAGCTAATGCAGAAATTTGAGTTTAAATCACAACCAATAGTAAGTTGATGCAGCTGCCATCATTATTGTGTCAACCAGCCCCAAGAAGATAATGTTGCAAAGTTTTTCGAATTGGGTTTCTGGATCAATACTGGTGCTGAAATGTGGAAAAAGTCGCTACAGGCAACTCAAAGTATGTCGGAATCTAATGTGTACCTATTCTTTAATGTGACGAAATACGGTTTAGACTTGCAAGGTTGAAGCTAACACCAAAACATTAAGTCTAGTAAGACATGCATCTTTTACAGAAGCTCATCCGGACGTGGCGCCGAGTTGCCATCAGATTAACAGAAAGACGTGCATAATGTCTGAAAAAGGTTCAAATTAGCTTGTGAGTAGAACAGAAACCCAAACACCAAACCCAGATTTAAATCTCCCCACAAGTTAGTGTGACAAAGTCAACTGTATGTTAATAGATTTCACCACCACCAGGCAGGAGTCTTACCGATAGCATCAAATCCTACACAAAAGGAAAATGACACGTTTTAATGTCTCGTACAGCGAAAACCGTCCTCCTCCTCTAAGCTGTAGTTCCATTACTGCTTTACTCACAGATATAAACACCTACGTTATCCCCAAACACTCACCGATTTCCACTCGGTGCGGCGCCACTCTGGCCACGGCCGGAGACCCCGGCTCTCCTCTCGCTTTGTTCTCATTCAGGGCGGCGCTCGCTGCTATTCCCAGACAGGGGCTGTTGGTGTCCCGGCCGGCGCTCAGCCTCCGGCCCGTCTCGGCGTTGATCTCCGAGTTGTAGGGCATCGGCAGGCTGATCTCGCTCTTGGAGATGTGGCGCTCCGGCGTGGTGCTGCCCCCCTCGCCGTCCGTCTGGATGTCCTTCTCGCTGACCGACTTCTTCTGCAGGAGGTTGCTGATCTCCATGATGTTGCCGATGATCTCCACGGGGCCCGTCAGGGTCTTCTTACGGGGGGAGAAGTCCTCTTTAATCTTCTTCAGGTAGGAGGCCGGAGCCCAGCCCTCTTTTCCCAGATATCTGTGGGTGAAACAAACAAAAGGGAAAGGCTTAAAGAGGATTTTGAGTTTCTCCTTTCTTCTAGTCTGGTATTTAGCTGCTGTTTTGTGAATGTTAAGGGTCTTACAAAGCCCAAAGAACACGCCAGAGGGAGTTATTCTCTACCACAGAAACTCTGCTCTTTACCTGAATGAAACACCTCGTTTGAAAAGCAGGTATGTAACTGAAGCACCATAAAAAGAGGCACTCTGTTAGCTTTTCATAACGTAAAAATCTGAGTTACATCAGCTGCTGATAGCATAAAAAGTGGTGTTTTATCGTCAATGGTGTGCAAACAGGTAAATTATGGTTCTTTCCATGTATTTCCCCACGAGCTGCTTGTGTTGAAATTACATCTCCACTCACAGATCTGGAGGTTTCTGACCAACGTTACCTCACTTTCATCAACATGAGGAGCCAAAACCAAACACGTTAACTGGAAACATCCAGACGATGGTTTTGTTGACTCGATCTCCATAAACACAAAGAGGAATTATCATGTTTTTGACACTGTGAACATGTTCCGAGGGCCAAATTTTTAAAAAATGCATTTGGATCAGAGCTTTAGGAACCTGTAAGGGAGCAGAACCATCCACAGGGTGAGTTAGCTGGGAATAACCCAGCAGTGGAGCCGTAAACTTCCCACAAAAACGGGTAAATAACTGAAAACTTCCACAGTTTTTCCACCATTTCAGTTCTCCAAACACGAGCAGCCAAAGGCGAGTCAACAGATTGCGTAATACCTGCAAGGAGCCACTGCTTCCCCACATTCAGCTTTCATTGTTATGCTGAACGTGAGTCATTTTCGAGTGTTTGTGAAACAATAAGAAACGTTCCAAGTGCAACTCTGAGTCACTTCCCTGTAGATGTGCCATTTTCTGCTCAGAGATCTTCTGTGTTTGAAACTCGACCACAAGGAGTCACCAGAACTGCAGAGAGCTGCATGACTCAGACGTACATCTGGAGGATTGTTTTCTGTTGCTCCAAAACGACTCGCTCTGCACCGAACAAGCTGTTTGAGCAGGCAGTTTGTTGCACATGTTAGCTGGTGAATCCAACATGGCAGCACCTCCAACAGAGGCTGCGTGTTTCTGAGATGCCACAAGGGCGGCATGTGATAGCAATCAGCTGTGCGCCTCCAGGGACGCCAGGGAACAAACGACTGTCAGGAAATACACGCTGGCTGAGTAAACAACACACATATGTGCAAACACAGACACGAGTAGACGTCAGATCCACCGGCAGGCAGGAGCTGATCTGAGGAGCTTTGTCGATGGTTTCTTGGTCTGCCGGCTCCACGCTGCACCCACCTGATGTACCACCAGCCCTCCAGGTTCTTCTGGATGACCTCCACGATGACCCCCTTCTCAAAGCTCACCTCGTCTTTGCCCTGGCTGGCGTACGGCTGGATCGTCACGTATTTCTCCTCTGAGAAGAAACAAAAAAAAACACAAAGTGAGTTATCATCAAACAGCCTCACATTCAGGGGTTAAACTGCTGCAGAGTTTCCCCCACTGGGGTTTTTTGAGGGGAAAAAATGGCGAGTGTGACCTACTTAAAACGCTATTTCCATACCAACACAAACACAACCCTCTCCCCTTTGTCCCGCGCGATAATAACAAACAGCTCCATCTACTGGACGCCCGGTTCTCGGCCGTCCTCGGCCTGGTTCTCAGAGCCTCCATCCAGCTCTCTGGAGAGGGAGATTCCTCTTCAAGCAGGGCCTCCCTCGAGGAGATATCTGGACCGAGATCCCTCTTCTCACATCTCTGTCTGACCGCCACTCCTCTCTCACGCTCTGCTCGCCTCCCAAGACCCCGTTGGGAAGGAAATCCTGCAACAGGCTTAACGGGGAGCCGGAGGAGGTTCGGTGGATTTCAAGGCGAAAGAAGGGACTGGCCAAGAGGTCCGAGCTGCTTCCCGGCAGACGATCAAGCGGTGCAATTCTTGAGTAAAAACTACGACAAAGAAAGACGTAAAGCATGAGCAGGGTGAGACGGAATATGACGTTAGACGGCTGCACGGTTTGCTGGAGGAGAGGCGAGGAGCAGGATAGTATCTGGGAGGCAGGATAGCATCTGGGGAGGCGGGGTGAGTCCAGACGGCGGGGATTCGACTCCTCTGCGCTGCCCGTCACTACAGAGCAGCTGAGGTCAGTAACGTGGAGCTCGGAGGAATGTCTGGACGCGAAACATGAGCTCGCGAAGCATGTTGGGCGTGGAGGTGAGTGTGCACGAGTGAGTGCTTGCAGATGGACGGAGAATAACAAACGGGACGGCCAACGGAGGAATCTGCAGCGCTTGTTTTGTGTGCGATGGATCGGATTACTTAGAAATGTAATCAGTTACCAAACACGCACATATTACAAGTTTTGGAGTCAGTAATGTAATCTATTTAAATGTGGATGAATGTAAAATAATCTAAATACTTTTGTGTGATTTTTGGATGACTTCGACACCAAACGCTGAAAATATTTCACTTTATATCACAAAATGTTCCACTTTGTTGTTTTCCATTTTAACAGGCCTGGTTGAAACAGCATGCCAACGTTTTTTTAAATCACCAAAATTACATCATCTATCAGAGCCAGAAACTGTAATAACACACCCATGAAGTGTAGTTATGTCAACAATCAAGGCCTCTTTCACTAAAATCACCTAATTCAACACATCATTTTAACAAATCTCCAAAAATAAATCGTTTGTTCGAACTCGTTTCTGTAAAAAAAAAAGTAATTCTCCACTTTTTAGCTCAACCAAGGAGCCATGAGTTACTCAGCTGTGACAAAAATTCATAGATGTTTAGGCTGAA